TTGTTTTTTTTTTTTCTGTTGTTTTTGGTTTTGGTTTTTGTTTGTTTGTTTTTTGAGACCAGGTCTCTTACTGGCCTGGAGCCCAGAAAGTAGACCAGGTTAGCTGGTCAGTCAGCCCCGGGGGTCTGTATGTACCACCATGCCTGGTTTTTTTTACATGGGTTCTAGAGGCTGAACTCAGGTCCTCATACTGGTGTGGCAAGCACTTACTGACTGAACTGTCTCCCCAGCCTCAAAATCACTGAGCTCAATTCCCAGCACTATAACATCCATGCTAATTAGACCGAGACAGGTGGGCCCCGAATTAAGTGGGTAGCCTGGTTCTACGTATAGCGGTTCAACAGCTAGGACCTGTCGCTATGTAATAGCATCTCATGACTGCCCATGGGAAGCCTTACCCTGAGAGGTTAGGGAGGTGGGGAGAACAGGAGGGGAGTGGGAATTGAAATGTAAAATAAGCATTTTAAAATCTAAAATATTTTTAAAAAGGCAGAGCATGTAGTGAAAAAATTAACATCCTAAATAAAGACTATAAAAGTTTAAACAGTACAATTAAAAGCCTGATCTAGTGGCCATATATAGACCTGCACACCAAACGACCAAAGACTATATACAATCTTTACAAACATACAGAACACAACCCAAACTAAGAGTATAAAGGATTTTCAATAAAAATAAGGATCTAGCCAGTCATGGTGGTGCACACCTTTAACTCCAGCACTTGGGAGGTAGAGGCAGGGAGAACTCTATGAGTTTGAGGCCAGCCTGGTCTACATAGTGAGTTCCAGGACAGACAGAGCTACATGGTGAGACTCCATCTCAAAACAAACAAACAAATAAACAAATACAAAAATATGGACTGATATATGAATATTATGTTTGTTTTATGATTACTTTTAAAAATCAATAGTAAAAATAAAGACTCACACTTGAAACTAGGCATGGTGGCACATGCCTCTAATCCAGGAACCTGGGAGGTAGAGCAGGATAAGGAGTTCTAGACCTGCTTTTGTTACACAATGAATCTGAGTCTAACCTGGTCAACAACAACAAAAACCTGCAATGCCTTCAAAAGCGAAAAACCTGGGCTGAGGGGACAGCTTAGCTGGTAAGGAGTTTACCATAGAAGCATGAGTTTAGACCCCTAACATACTCATTTTAAAAGTTAGGTATAGTAGGGCTGGAGACAGAAGATCCCTGGAGGTTACTGACTAGCCAGTCTGGCTAAATTGATGAGCTCCAGGTTTAGTGAGAGACCCTATCTCAAAGAATAAGGTAAATGGAGGTTGGAAAGATGGCTCAGTGGTTAAGAGCACTTACTGCTCTTGCAAACGATCTGGGTTCATTTCCCAGCACCCACACATCAGCTCACAACCCACCTCTAACTCCAATTCTCTTCCGGCCTCCACAGGCAGATAGGCAGGCATGCACACAACACATGTACACACATGCAAACAAAGCTCTCACACATTTAAAATGAAAATAAATACTTTTTAAAAATAAGGTAAATAGTGATTGAGAAAGATACCTGATGTTGACCTCTAGCCTTCAGTCACATACATGCATGTACACATATATGAACATGTACATAACAGACACACACACACACTACAAAATAAATAAATAAATAAAACAACCAAAACCCCAATCTGTAGTCCAAGTACTCAGGAAGCAGAGGCAGAATTGCTGCAAATCTAAGACCAGCCTGATCTATGTAACAAGCTCCAGACCAGCAAAGTGCCATCTACACAAGGATATCCTGCCTCAAAAATAGCAGAAACATAGCAAGCAAACCAGAGGCGGGTGGCGGGAGACACTCTTAGGAATGTTAAAACCACAACTCTATTGGTACAAAGACAGAAGAGGTCAACAGAAATTAGGAAGTACTTAAAACTGAGTAACATGACACTGCGTCTCAAATCTGTGAGGTGAGGTTGAGGCAGTATTGAAGAGATCTTTACAGTTTTATGTGTTTTTTGTGGGAGGGAAGATGAAAATTAGTGATCTGAGAATTTGGCTATCAGGGAGAATAAGTCCAAAAAAAAAAAAAAGAGAGAGAGAGCACACCAAGCCTACTAACAGCCACGCCTGTCTGAAGGAAGCTGTTTTATCTTACCCACACAACATGGCCAAAGCACAGCCTATCTGTCTCTATCATGGCCTTTCAACTACCCAGTTAATTCCAAACAAGTACAGCAAGAGCAGTGGCAGCAGCTCACCCAGCCCCACTGTCAACCGCTCCAAGAAGAATTTTGGGTGGGAACCTTTCTCCATCCTCCTGCTGTGAACTTAATACTTCAAGAAAAAACTTAAACTGCCCTTCTCTACAGACCTAGAAGCCCTGATTTGAAAAGAAACTCAGTTAGGTTGGAGGGGAAAAAAAAAAATTCAGTCAGCTGCAAAGACTGGGTTATCACGAGGGATGCTTACAAATTTCATGAATGTATATGCACTTGTGAGGACGACACCAGGTATCCTCCTCTATTGTTCTCAGTTTTATTTTTGAAGAGTTATTTTATTCATGTGTCTGAACGTTTGCCTGCATATATGTATGTACAACACAACGTCCTCAATATTTTGAGGCGGGGTCTCTCATGGAACCTGCTCCCTGACTGGCTAGACTGGCCGGCCAGCAAGCTGCCCCCAGCCCATCCTGCTGGCTCTGCCTTTGATGCTGACCCCTGAGGCATGGGCAGTCACACCCAGCTTTCTATGTGACTGTGAGGACCCATCACGGGCCTCATCCACTAAGTCACCTCCTCAGCTGTTTTTCAACTTTACTCTTTCCCTTGTACCAATGCACTATCTCTCCCCTTCCATCTCCCTTCTCTCTCCTCGCAGACACCTAGTGTCCAATGAAGGAATTAAGGTAAAACTCTGTGTGTGTGTGTGTGTGTGTGTGTGTGTGTGTGTGTGTGTGTGTGTGTAGGTTATAGGTTAGCCTCAGGTGTTGTTCCTCAAGACAGTAGTACTTATTTTTGTTGTTGTTTTTCAAGATGGAGTTTCTCTCTGTAGTTCTGACTGTCACTTTGTAGACCAGGCTATCCTCTAACTCACAGAGATCCTCCTGCCCCTGCTTCCATGAACCACCACCACCCGGCTGTACTTAGTTTTGGAGATAGGCTCTTTCACTGGGACTTAAGGTTCATCAATTAGTCTTAGATGGGAGGCCAGCAAGCTCTGAGACCCTCCATCTCCACCTCCCCAGCGTTGGGACTATGAGCTTGTGCTATTGTCCTGAGCTTTTCTGTGGGTTCTGGAATCAAACGTGGGTCCCCATGCTTGTTCGAGCAGTACTTTACATGAGACGTTATCTTTGCAGGCCCTCCAGAACATCTTGATTATGCCTGCCACCTTTCCAGCTTCGCCTAAGTCACTGCACCAAGCTTCAGTTCAAAACTGATGCGCCCTCCAAAGTCCAAAGTCCACACTAGTGTCTCATGAACTCTGTTTAGTGGTATGAAAACCACAGCCCTTGCTCATTGTGGTTTGGAGGAGAATGGCCCTGTGCGTTCAAGTATCTGAATGCTTAGTCACCAAGGTGGAACAGTTCGGGAAGGGTTAGAATATGTGCTTGTTGGAGGTTTTAAAAGCCCATGCCAGTCCCAGCCTCTCTCCTCTCTCTCCTTCCCTCCCTCCCTTCCTCCCTCCCTCCCTCCTCTACTCTCTGTGCATCCTCACAGACAGGAAAAGGAAGAGGAGGTGAAGGGAGCTCAAAGCTACTCATTTGCCGGCCTCTCCTCTGCTGGTTCCCTTTATCAGCCAGACTCCACTCCAGATGCTACCTTGCCAGAGCCCTTCGCTGGCCCACTGGGATACCCATTCTGCTTCTAGCCTACTTTACAACCCTGTTTCATTCCCTTATAAGGACACCTCACAAATACAGAGCACTGTGTTGCACCTACATGGCACATGTGCTTGGTAATATTACTTAAAGAACTAGTTCCCACTGACTGAGTCTTGAATTAATTGTGAGCTTCAAGTAACTTATTTTTACATATAAAACTCAACCGCCTTTTCCCGATTTCAGGCCACTGCTGTGTCTCTCCCTTCTAAATTGATCCTAGCTTCAGCCATGCTACCGTTCCACCTTCAATCACTGTCACCTGTATCACCTGTATGTCTTGGGACCAAGGAAACCATAAGAGGGCAGCAGATCCCCTGAAACTGCAGTTACTGCAGGTTGTGAACCAATGTGGGTGCTGGGAATCAAACCTGGGTCCTCTAGAAGGGCCGCCAGTATTCTTCACCCTCGAGTCATCTCTCCAGCCCTTGCTATTTTCTGAAACATGGTCTTACTCTTTAGCCAAGGTTGGCCTCCAACTCATGGAAATCTTCCTGCCAATCCCCCCACCCCCCACCCAAATGCTGGAATCACACGCATGAACCCTGATAGCCAGCCCATTCTAGACTCTTTGCAGTATCTAGCATCCTTCCTATGCCTTACCCTAAGTTATTTTTAGTAACATCTATACAAAGACATGATCAGTGATGGCAACATAAATGCCAACCACAGGACAACCACAGCCTCGCTCTTACCCCCAACTGTTTCCTCTGAAAAGCCTCAACATTCTTCCTTCCTACTCCCCTTCATCCAAATGAAGCTGTCCTCGCTCTCCACTGAGACCTCTGAGGCTGGACTCCTTGTCTTTCTACTCTCTGTTGTCTGGTTCCTCCTATAAATCAACTCTCAATTATCGTTAAGTTCCCTGGTCTTTTTGCCGCAAACTCCCTCACATGATATCCTCCAGAGCGGCACTTTCAAAGCCTTCGAACACCATGTCATCATATCTAATGAGACTGAATCACTCAAACTTAAGCACTGTTAAAATCTGAAGAAGAGCAGGAACTGTCTAAGCAAGAATCTTCCTATCTTTAACAGAAACATAATGCCAAAAGGATGTGGGAACCTCTATTCCCACAGTTACAGCAATGTGTATAGTGTAAATTATACAACTTCCCGGGTTACCCTCCCAGGGTCACTGAGAATAACTACTCACGTAGATAAGTCCTGAATAGTAGCGGTCCTTGAGATTATGTAAAACAGACGCTTCGTTCAAGCACGTCAACTCCGCCATATCCTCCACCTTGGAGAACTTCGGTGGGTTCATCTTCTGAATGTCATCTTTGTTGACCATTGCTTTCTTTCCATTCTCTGCCAGCTCCACCATAACTTCATCGCCCCGTTCTTCTTTGATACTAGCTGCCTCAAAACCATGGCGTTCTGATGGGATCCACACCAGCTTTTTAGCTGTCCAATCAGCTTGAGTGGCAGGGTTGTAGATGACAGCCCTGTCCACAAAGAGATATCTCTCCGGATCCTCCAGTCCAGTTCTCTGGGCCATTGTAAACAGATGGATCCAAAAGTAATTGCCTCTACAAGGGAAGGGCAAAATTAGATGCTTATGAAATATAAAATAATTTACAAGTTCAACTTTCTAAGAAGCTTAGAGCAAAACCCTTGATAACCATAAAACATGCAGTTAAAGAACCAAGTGTCCCTCCCTCCCCACAGCCACACTATCCCGTTTTCCAAGGTAAACGGCAGGGGTAACCACTAATCATGACTCTGGTTGTCTAATGACCATTCAAGATCTGCCCTCAGTTACCAAACGCAAAGGCAAACAACAAGGTTTCAGTGTGACCTTTCTTCCTTGCTCTCTCCTCTTTCACCCTCACCGCAAATTAAGTAAGGAGTTAGGAAGGGAAAGGCCAAAGAGGAAAAATAAAACAAAGATACATTTAAAAAAAAAAAAAAAAAGGCCCATGAAGTGGTACTGGAATTATTGTAAGTGACCACAGGCCATAGCTACAAAAACACTATGATTGCCAGAGAGTAAAGAATCAGGTCCAGGGTGTAGCTCAATGGTGGAGAATTTGACTGGCATGTACAAGGTCCCTGGGTTCCATCTCCAGAGTACAGAAGCAGGAAGCGACTACATGAATGAATTAGAGCTAAATTATGCCTTCCGGTTCACCTTCAGACAAGACTTGAGGCAATCCCCCTATAGCCTCACAATGGTCCTTTAATCTGTTAGATGGGGACCACAGAAGACAGTTACAACTTGGCTTCAACCAAGCCTTTCAAGTAGGTGACACCTATTCAGGTCTCCATCTCTGCCCAACAACCGCTCCCACTCTGGAATCGCCACCTCCCACTACCCTCACCTCCCACCAGTGTCCATGTGTTGTATAACAGTTTCCTCTGAGTTTAAAGCATTCCATCCTTCAGGAAGCCCCTTAAGCAGGAAGGGAAAGTACTCAAAACTTCAGGAAATCCCTGAAATGGAGCAGATTCACTAGGCCCCTCCCTGCCAGAGTAGGCAATAAAAGCAGAGTCCCCCTCAGAAGAGCAGCGCCAGGCTATAAAGAAGACCCTCATACCAGCTGAGAAGCAAAGAAGGGTCTGGAGAGCAGACCAGCTGCCTGGAGGAAGCAGAAACCAGCCAAACTGCCTGGAAGAGGTTCAGACCAACTGAGGCCCCTGGAAAGGACACTCTCCAGCCTGTGCAGCTGCCTGCAGGCTGTGCGCACTGTGTTCCAGGTTCCCAGCTTTGTGAGCTGTCACCCATGCTGGGCTGGGCTTTGGGGATGCAGCTGTCTTTGAGTCATTTCTGCTCCTGTAACCCCTCACTCAGTCCTGTAAGTAACCACAACAAAACTCACTGGTTCACCAAGTTGAACTTTGGTGGTATCTGTACTTTGGTCTGTTGTGGGTTCCCTGTCTGGGGTGAGTAGACACATGTGCTGCGTCTCCAGAAGAAAAGTCTTATAACACACCTTGTCTTCCATTAAGTGTGTGGCCCCAAAGCCAGCCTAATATTACAGAAATGATCTAACCAGTACATAAAAAAAAAGAATCATTAGTAACTTAAAGCCACAACAGTCAGAGCTCAAAATGCAATTGATTTGTTTAGTGCATAAGCAAATCTCTGGGCATGTCAGAGTGAGACAGCTCTCCCATACTGGGACACTTGGGAATTAGCCTTTTGGATCAAAAGTGACACCTTTCTGATGTCAGGTGTCATTCCTTCCTGACAGCATCTTCCTAGAATCGAACATTTCTTGCTATTACTCCAAAGTCCATGGTATTCCAAACATCACAGGAATTTTTTAAGACTTCATCCAAATCAACCCAAGAAACCAAGTACTGACTTTTACTCATCAAATTTCTTCAGCTTCTCCCCTTACCCCAGCTTACCAGAAATATGGGGGCTAGCCTCAAACTTACAGAGATCCACCTGCTTCTGCCTCCTGAGTTCTGGGATTAGAGGTATGTGTCACTATACCTAGCTACCCTGTTAAAGAGAGAAAGAGAGGGGGGGGGAGAGAGAGAATTTTGCCCGCATGTATGTATATGTACCACATGGAAACTTGGCACCCATGGAGGCCAGAAGGGGGTGTCAGATTCCTTGGAACTAGAGTTAACAGACAGTTGTGCACCTAGCATGTGGTGCTAGAAGTCGGACTCAGATCCTCTACAGAAACAAGTCCCCTTAACTGCTAAGCCGTCTCTCCAGCCGGGGACTGTGTATTTCTATCAGCTGATGATAGTGCTATTGTTCCTGGACCACTTTGACAATCACTCTTCCACAGTTCTCTCTCCCAACTACAAACAGAGCTGCCATCCCATTTTATAATCTAAACCCACATGCATCTTAGGCAAATACAAGAGCAAGGGCAATACAGAAAATATTTGTGGACACATATAAAATCGGAAGTATGGTGAGGATTGGGCTTAGCTAGTTATTAACATGTCTTTCCAGTTTAGACTGCACAGTGGTAAGAAGTGTGGGAGTCATCTCAGGAGAATTTGAGGGCAAACAATAGGCCACATTTTAGACTTTTAATTAAATCAGTTATAGCGAAATCAATTTATCTCATTCTTAGTTGGTTAAACTGCATATAGGGCACAAGTCTGCATTCATTAACTTACCATGGGTGTAGAAATCATCTTAAATTTGGAATAACTTAGCAAGTCGTTTCTGTAGCAGGTCCAGAAAAAGTAAATTGTGTAATTTTTTTGTTAATTTATTAAATGGGGACATTTAAAATTTATTGGTACACATTTAAGATGCAGAAATGCTAATTTAATGTAAAAAAATAGTGGATTATGAAACTGTAATCACTACATGCTCCCAGCTTTCTGGGGAAAAGATAACATAACACACCTTTTTGGTTTTTGAGCCCCAGGCTCAAAAGCCCCAGTGTGTAGATGAGGCTAGTTTTGAACTCCTAAAGTTTCTGCTTCCACCTCTGAAGTTCTAGGCTTACAGGTGAGCACCACCACCCCAAACTTCATTCATTTATTTAAATTCATTGGGTCTTTAGTTAAGCAGTAGATCACCAATTATTTTTATTTTTAACACTTCCAGATTTTTCTGCAGCTAAACCCCGTGGGGATGGTTACCTGTCCTTTGTTGTGTTGGTCAGATAGCCTGGTCCCTGGTACATAACAGAGAATCCAGATCTACCTTACATAAATGGCCCCTATCTTTAAAATTCACTTCAACTTCCCACAACCTTCCCTCCTGACCCAAATGCTACCCTTCCACACTTTCTTTTCAGGTCAGTCTAGCAATTTAATCCTTCCTTCTCCTTAGCCTCCTCGCTGCTCTTCTGGCAGTCTCCTCGACCTACCTAGCTTACAAGGCTTACCAGGCAGGTAGGAGGTGCTCCTGAGGCTGTTTAATTCATAGGGTCAGAGAGGCCAGTGAAGACACTTCGGTTAGTTTCACTCTTCACTTGTGCTTACCAAGTACATTGCATTTTTGTACTCCATTGCATACTTGGTATTAGATCTGATTTAAAACTGCCATTTAACATGTACAACTTGCAAATATTTTGCCTTGCTGAACGGCTAATATCACAAGTTTTAAAACAAATAATCTTGTTATGCATCCCTAATTACATCCAGGCACTAGAGGGGCACAAGGTAGCTTCCATTGATAACTCCATTTCACAAATGAAGAATCCAAAGAATGCTGGGAACAGACAAGTAAGGGGCCCAAGGTCACACAGCAGAGGTCACAAGTAGCAGAGGAAGACTTAAGCCCAGAGACCAGGCTACAGTGATCAAAGTCAGTGGACAGGGAATAAATTTTGAAGGACATGTAGCATATTATTGTTAGCATATTACTTGTAGCATATTACTTGTTATCACAATTTAAAACATCCTGTCTACTAATAATGGGTTGAAGATTATAGTTTCAAATGATAAGCACATTTCACTATCTGGCATAGACTTTATATTTGGAAGGAAAATGCCTACATTTAAGAAAAGGGGGAATAAAAAGGAACCTCTGGAGTAGACAGGCATGAAAAGAATTTGGAGGTGTTATCTGTCACCTGAAGTAATTGTCTAATTATAATGAAATCGTTTATCGGTGTACATATATGTATATATATATATGTAAATATATATATACATATATACATATATGTAAATTTGCCTCCTACAGAGTCAAAGTCAAAGTTCCCATTCATTGCATTGCCACCTAGCAAAATTCTCAACTCCTCCCAACACCCAAGGTAGTCCATGGGCAGAGGAAAACAATTCAATTGAATACACAAGAACAAATAAAATAATGCCAGTTAGCCACTCCAGAAGATGCTTCTGAAACAGATGAAGTAAATGAGGACTGCCCCAATCTGTGTAATGCTGTCTACTACTGAGGTCACTGGCATTATGTGGCTGCATGCATTTCTCAGTTTATCAAAATTCTACTTAACCAAACAATCACAGACACAAAGGTAAGACCTGCTATGAAACCCTGCACTAGCTCCCAAATAATGAAATGTTTCCAAAACTTGGATCTTAAACCAGAGATTTTAATCCTCTATATGTGACAACAATGTACATCAAAAGCTGAAGCATATGGTCGTTCACCCTACAACGGTGCCCTTCAAATTTTCCTCCATCTCATTCTCTATCCAGTCTCTTCATTGTAATGATTTCCCTAAGGAGACCAAATACATAGCCAAGCACTCACAGGTCACATCCTTTTGCTGCAAAAGCTTGTGGTATATCACACAATTGCACCACATGCTTTCTGCCGATAAGGATGGAGAGAAAGGAATTTAAGATGCAGAAGTAAGGAGATACATAAAATGGCCACTTTTTCAGAACCGGAGACAGACAGGACACACTTAAACATCAAAAGCACGAGGCCAAAAGAATAGTTAAAATAGAGGCGGACTGGTTAAGGATATGAAACAATGAATAGATTATAAAGTTTTCCAGAGTCAGATACTATCAGGAATAATTAAACCTAATCCAAAGCATCCTTAGTTCCAATGTTTAAAAAAATAAAATCTCAGCATAGCCAAAGTATTACATTTAGTAGTATTTTATTCAGCAAAAACAGCAGTCTTTGTTCCATCCGCAGTCTGGATCTACCCCGCCTGCTTTCCCTACCCCACCCCAACCCACCCCACCCCCTTCCATCCACCGCAGTGATCTTGAAGAGAGCTGCAGAGGCCCCAAGAAACAAGAGATAACGGTCGTAGGTAGACACCCCGTTACCCAAACCTCACCAGCTCGGTCAGACCCGCAGAGTGGCCACCTCCTCCCTAAGGCCCCAGTTCCCAGGCAGGCCTGAGTGGGGGCCTCTCGGGTCCCTGGGCCGCATCCGCCCACCACAGGCCCACAAAGCCCCGCCAATGCCAAGACTCCACAGCTTCAACTTCCCTCCGACCCAATTCCACTTCAATTTTATGGGATCAGGGTGTGACTCCCCCAACTGCAGAAGGCCAGGGAGAGAGATTCTCCGGCGAGCCATTACCAGATCACTTACACAATAAAGCGATCCAGAAGCGAGGGCTCCCCCCCCCCCATCAACTCCCCACTCCCGGCCGCTCCGCTACAACGCGCCCGGGCCACATTTCCCGCCTCGTTCCCCCCAACGGCCGCAGACCTCGCCCGGCGTCCACCTCCCAGTTCCCCACCGTCCCCAGCAAGCGTGGCACGCCGTTTAACTCCCGCCCTCCTTCCCCTCGCCCAGCTAAGGAGCCCCTCGCCCGCCGCACGCTCCCCAGACCACGCAGAGCTTCATCCCACCGGTCCCTTAATCTCACAGATACAGGGTCCGCCTTCCGAGTCCTCGGTGAACCCCTCAGTCGCTCCCGGGGAAGCCTAACTCGGCCTAACTCACCATGCAACCCACCCAGGGCCCCTTCCTCCCCGCGCCCCTAGCACCGAGATCACAGCCCAGGACTCAGTCCTTCCCTAAGAGGACAGACACGCCGAATGCCTCCGGCCTCCTACTAGGGCACTCACCTCCCAACCCCACGCTTCCAATGCAACCACGAGTTTGATCTCCACAATCCACCCCCAAATCTCCATCCTCATCCCCTCCAGGGATCGTCCCCACGCACACCCTAGCCCTGATCTCTGCAGGGGTCTCACTCCCAAGGACCTCACTGCCTATCCTTCCGGGGGTGGGGGTCTCTCCATCTCCATACACTGGGGTCCCGTCACCTCCACAAGGTCCGCTCTCCACAGCCCAGTCAGCCTTTCCCAGAGCTCCGGCTCTGTGCTCCAGAGTCGCCCGGTTCCCCCAGCCCAGATTATTTCCCTCCTGGTCGCCCAATCGTCCCCGCTCCCGGGGACACCGCACTCGGACCCAGGCAACCGCACCTCTCACCTTCAGCCGAAGATGGTGGCGCCAGCGCACGTCCCCAGCAGCGACCACAGATCCAGCGTCTCAGTTCCAAACCCACCGCTGCCTCCGCCGGGCTCCTTTAGCACTGCCGCTCGCGCCTGCCCCACCCACTCCCACCCTCATTGGGCCAGCTCCACGCCCATCACAGCCGCCCCCAGACCCACTGGTCGGTTTGCGCGCCCATCTCCCAGGAAAGACGTTAGCAACCCGAACGAAGCTACCTTCCCAAGTCCGGCTCCCTCCACCCACCTGGAATGATGCTCATTGGCTCCCGCTCCCGACCGAGGCCCACAGACTCCCAGTCTCATAGGCTGATCCTCATGCCTGTCAGAGACGCCGGGAGGTGCGGCCGGGGCAGTGGAGGGCGATTGGCTGGCCTGGGGGGAGATGGACAGCTGAGACTAACTGGGAGCCGGGCGGTCCCGCGAGGCAGCGGCGCCGACCCTGCTGGGGCGTGCGCGCTGCGCTAGACGGGGCTGGGGGACAGTGGGGCAGGTGTGCCACAGCAAAAGCCCCCGTCTCCCTCTGATCGCGTCTTGCTGGAGCCCATTCGAGTGTTCTAAGGCCCGTCCGCTTGCCGCAGCCACTGCTTCCCCGCAGCAGAACCGCTTCCACAGAGGAATTGCCGGCCCCCGGAGCTGCCTGCAGGGGAGGGGCGGGAGCGCGGTCCTGAGGCCTGACGTCACCCTGGAGCTTCAGGGGGTGGGAGCCGCCGCTGTGCGGCTCACCTGCAGTGGGGGATGGGTGCAGCTCAGCCCATGCGCGAGAGCTCTGTCCTGACCCGGCTGCAGTCGGCTTGAACACTGAGGCCACTGAGGTCCCCGCTGCTGATGCTTTTTCCGGGCGCCCGCCGCACACCTTCCTCTCGTGGCCTGCCACAGTTGGATGTTTGCTAGCGGATAAAACCTGGTTGCTCAACCTCTTAGGCAAAGGGTCTGGCGGAGGAGACGTGAAAGCGACGACTTCACTAGTTCATATGTTCATTCACTCATTCATTCCAATTCTCTATGGAGGAGGAGCTGGGTAGGGTTTGCAGATTCCTGCGGTGTTGTCATATCCCCTAGAGCCAAAGAATTAGTGGTTCAAATGCCTTAGAAAATGCCTAGGTGGGGGTGGGATTCCAAAATAAGGAAACTGCGAAGTTGAAGTAAAAAAACAAAGTCTGTAGAATCTAGTCGACTCTTAATTATACGAGTACAAATATTATAAAGTAAAAAACCGCAAGAGCAAAAATGGGTTATTTGTTCTTATAAAAATAAATTTTCAAAAAAATACAGTTTTTAGTATTTAGTATTGGATATATGTGTGTTTTAATAGATATCTTCTAAATTCCTGGGAAACTTCTAGACTGATTTTTTTTTTTTTTTAAAGTCGGAAAAAAAAAATCGAAAACAAGTCAGGAAATGATTGAAAGGGTTGGTGGAATTCAGAGAAAGCTCCAAGGTGGCTGAATGCAGAGCAATTCAAGTGGACATCCTGGTGCAGTCTCCACCCCCACCTGCCCGATGGTGTGGCTGCCCTCTGTCCAGGTGGCTTGTGACTTTGGCACCGCGTGAAGAGTTCTGTCCTTGTGAAGTCTGCAGAGGAGTATAACTTAGCTGTATAAAACATGTCACTGGTAGCCCTCTTCTCGTTGTTTCGGTATTTAGAAAAGACGTGGCTATCTATAAGGACTGAGTCTAAGCTTTGTCACCCAGTGAAGTCATTTCTAAATGCAGCATTCCACGCTTAGAGAAGCCACATAAATTGTCCCAGTAAGCTGTCAGACCTGTGTGTCTCATAATGTCAAAACTTCCTCATAATTTTACAACAATCTCAATGGACCATCAGACAAAGAGAACAAGAAATTCACCAGAATTAAAACTCACAAAGACACCTGTCTTGATGAGAACTCAGTAACAAACTGTCCCCAAGTATATTTCTAGCTCCGGAGTCTCTTCTGTGTTTTCCTCTGCCAGATATCTCCCATCCCAGTACTAATCAAGCCTGGTCCCATTTTTCTTCTGGGATCAAACAAGATTTGGCATGATCAGAGTAAGATGTCCATAGATGTCTGTCTGCACCACATCTCTGCCTAGATAGGAGGGAAATTACAGAAGTAACAGGTTCCAAATCTATCTTCTGCCCATTCATGCTTCAACAACCCATCACTCAATCCTTCTTTCCAAGTTCCCTGGATCTGCCTCTTTGCTTCCTTCTCCCTTATTTCGAACCTAGGCCCCCAGTCTCCATCCCAGAAAGGCTCCCCCAACTCTAGCCCTCACCAGCACAAAGGAAACACAGAACTTAGAATCAGACCTGGCTCTGAATGCAACTCTGCCAACACTATACCTAAAGCTTAGTCTTTGACAAATTACCTCATCTCTAAAAGAAAATACAGGCATGTACTTGAAAGATTCATTTATCAAATAAGTTGAATTGATGGGTTACTGAGTAAAACTAATGTGACATGGATTAATAGGTTGAAAATCCTAAAGTACAAGTTCATTACAAAGAGTGAGGAAACCCTCGTCTTTATCTGTAGTAATTTCAGCTAGTGACGTAGGCTGCTTTTACTTCTAAAAGCAAAAGTTCACAGACCATTGTTTGGCAGGGACTGGGTCAGAAGTCCAAACTCATTCCCTTGGGGCAGCTGGAGCATGTGAGCTTGTTTTGTTTCATGTGTACAGAACTGATAGATGACTTTTTTTTAAAAAATGAATTCCAATATTTGGAAATTAAGAGCTATCCAACATTGTTAGTCATTAGGGAACTATAAATTGAAACCACAGTGAGCTCCCACTTCATACCCACAAGACTGCAATGAAAAAGTTAAGGGTAATGAAATGACACCCACTAGACTACAGAGAAAAAGTAAGGGCATAGCAAATGCTGGCAAGGACCCAGAGAAACAGGAACTTTGCAGTCATTGAGGGCAGGAATGAAAAATGTTGCAGCCACTTTAGAAAATAAGCATTTTCTTTAAAAGTTAACATGTTGCATGCTTTTTTCCATAATAGAAAAAAAGAAAATAAATATAAATTTACCATACAACCCCACGATTGTATCCTTAGGTATCTTGGGGGCGGGGGAGAGATAGAGGGAGAGAGAGAAAAAAAGGTTGGGAGAGATCCTGTGTGGATACAAAAGAAATGTACATACATAGAAATGTTCACCCAGCGTCATTTATAATAGCCAGAGGAGATAAACAACCCAAATGAACATCAACTGATGAAGAGATACACAAAAGTGGTAGATCCATACAATAGATTGCCATCCAGCAATAAAAAGTAATAAACAATGGATGCAAGCAACATAGATGAACCTTGCAAACCTTATGCTCACTTGAAAAAAGCCAGACACAAAAGCACATACTGAACCATCCCATCTGCATGAAATGCCCATAAAAGGCAAAGCTAGAGAAAGAAAGTTATATGGCACTTGCCTGAGGTGATATCTGGGGTCAGGAAGGAGGTACAACACAGGATTCTACAGTAAATGAGCATAAGAGATCCAAATGGAGTAAGGAAAATGCTCTAAAACTGACTTATTGTACCAGTTGCACAATTTGGTAGACATACTTAAAAAAAAATAAGATCTCAAACTACTGTATTGCATTCTGTGAATTATGTAAGTGTGTAAATATACCTCAATAAAGTTCTTTTTTTTAAACAAAGGAAAAGGAGCTAGCCCACAAAAACCTAGATTTCCAGCTTTTCTATAAAAATTTAAAGTTCTGGAAATCCAAAAGCCCTGTTGCTCATTTTTAGAAAAAGCACACACCCCTCCCTGGTGACCTGATTTACTCACTGAATGTATTTGTCTGGTCATTATTGTGGTTTGTTTGTTTTGTTGTTGTTTTCTTTTTTCAGTTATGAGATCACACTGAGGGCCTTGAGTGTGTTAAATGCTCTTCTGTAGGCAGAGTCTCTCTGTGTCCCAGCAGCCGCTCCCAAATATCCATTCAGAGACTTAATATTAGTTATAAATGCTCAGTCGATGGCTCAGGTTTACTACTAACTAGCTCTCACAACTTAAAATTACCCATTTCTATTAATCTATTAAGCTCATGGCTTTTGGCTTTCCTGTATATTCCTTCTTCCTTTCTGTCTGGCTGACAACTACTCTGACTCCACCCCCTTCTTCCCAGCATTCTCTCTGCCCTGAAAATCCTGCCTCGTCATTGACCAATCAGCTTTATTCACAATGACAACAATACATATTTACAGCGTATGAAGACTATTCCACAGCACCGTCCCACTGAGCTATCCCCAGCCTTCATAGACATAAAGTTTTCAGGACCTTGGTTACTTGTTGGGGGAGGAAAGAGGATTCATGGCAAATCATCCCAGAGATATGAGAAGGGTGTTTGTGAGATGAGTTGCTTCTGTTATGGCAGTAAAGCAGTAGAAAGTTTGGGGTGGGTGGGGAGGAGTCTGTAAGAAGTATAGACAAGTCCATCCTATGAGCGTGATTTGTGGGAACTGTGGGAACTGGAGACATACACTATTGTGGTATTCCCTTCTCAGTCTACCAAAGCCATTTTCACCTGACGGTGAAAGGTAAAAGGGTCATTGAGTGTTCAAAGAGAATTTTAAAACAGAAAGGGTAATGACAAAACAAACAACTCCAACGAGCAAAAAAAGAAACCTCCAGAATTTCCTTAGGTTCTAGGAAAACCGACAAGAAGTTCCTGAAACTTAATAATTCAACATTTCCTATCAATCACATAGAATTTGGCTAAGTCATAGTTTACTTGATTTATAAAACCTGGGGCAGGAGTGGACGTCGGAGTGTCCTTAGGATCATAAGACCCTGGGCAAACCCCCAACACTCAAAAATAAAGGAAAGGCAGGCTTGGTCATCCTTGACCTTAATACAGCAAGCTACACAAATGCTCATTGACTATCCTTTGTGCCTAGGGCCTATGGCGAGTACTGAAGCGATTACAGTAATAGCACAGACACGCCCCTCTCAGGAGATTGTGATCTAGTGGGAAATATGACAGTTATTAGCAAACAATGATAATAGAAGAGGTTTGTTTTTTATCTTGAATTTGTACAAGGAAACCTACAGAGTTGTAAGAATTCCGAAATTATGTGCAGAATTTATTGTGTGCACTATTCCTCCCCCTGGGGAGATCTATAGCTTTTAAAAGCAGTTT